AAAAGACAGCACTCAGTGAATACTGTGCAGAAGGCTTTTTGTGACCGAGGTCCACTTAATAATCCTAAAGGCCGATAAACTGATTTTATGACAGCCGTATAATGATCAGAGTCCACCTATGGGATTAACAGCCTGTTGAAAATTCAAAACATCTGTGGGTCATGATATAAAAAGGGAAGACGCACAACATTTATATGACCTATGTCACTTATCAGCCATGTTGACCTTAGTGACCGTTGCTATGAACTGTTGAGCCAAATTATCTCCTTTGCCTTCATAACAGATGGTCCCATGTATCCTTTGCTAAAGTAATGAAGCAAGCACTATCTGTAGGTTCTCAGTAATCCAGGTCATTTTCTGTGTTTGTGTTGAAGGCAAGCAGACTCCTTTCAGTTGCTTTAAGACCTCTACAGGGTAAACACCGAGAACACATCAGCTTTTATAATTGATGCTTTCAGCTGAGGTGAAATCTCTTCAGAACCTTTAAAAAAAAAAAAAAAAAAAAAGTCTGCAGCTACCTTCAACATTAAGAGAATTCAAACAACTTATTATGCCTGTCAGACACACCCAGGTCACTTAGCAACCTTCCCAAACAAAATCTGACTCATGCACTTGTTAATGTTAACTACTGAAATTAAAACTTCAACTAAATGCCCAAATAGCTGCCAAAAGATGTTTGAGGTGGCTACAGAGACCTGATTTTTTTAAAAATAACATTAACTTAGACAAAACTCATCTGACCTAATGTTGCCAATCCAGTTATACAGAAAACTCAGCCTACTTTCACACTGGCAAAACACACGTGGGCTATTAATACCTTCATCCTCTGGAACCTTCTACCCACTGCTACATGTTTCACTGTGTGTCAGATGGTGGCTATAAATTTCAAACACATTGTTATCTACAGTAAACACTTGTATCCAATCCAACAAATCAAATCCTTTAAATATAATGCAATACTAGGGTTCTCCCACTTGCGTCACACTTCCCATAAAGTCAATAGAGAAGCTGATGTGCTCTGGGTTGAGTTTGACTGCTTTATTTAAATTCAGAGAGGGACAGTTTGACTTTATCAAGTTCTGTCTGGCGTTCTCAGAATATGCGGGAACAATAAAATGAGAAATGCCATCAACAGAACAAACATGCTGGTGAGTTAGCAGGAAAAAAAAAAAAAAAAAAAGAAGAAGAGGATGATGCCACACTGAAAAAGTTCTGTGCATTTCAGGAATTTATTTGCTAGGGGGCAGATTTAACCAGCCTTTGGCCTCATCCCACTGCAAATTTCATCATTCATTTAATAGTGCACTGACTGCTCTTCCTTCCTCCATTTGATCTGAACATAAAGACCACTGTGCTTCAGCCCTGTTGGTGGTCTTCGTCAATCACACCCACTCCTTTCTTGCTGAAACTTAACCCCATGTCCCCCCTTTGTTGACCCTGCAAACATACTGCAGACTGTTTAGACACTGCAATCCAGTGAGCTGCAGACACTGTGTGCACAGACAGGATGAAGCATATCAAAAAAAAAAAAAAAAAAAAAAAAAAAAAAAAAAAAAAGTATAAAACACTGACCCTGTTTTGTAATACAGATTCAAAACTGAACCCCCCAGTTAGGTTTTATTTTAAAGCAATGTCAGTAATGTAGTTTTATATTACAGAGTGAGGATGGCAACAACTCGAGCTAAAACTGTGCTGGCCTGTTTCCCTGTGTCAGCAGCAGCCAGGTGCCTGTGTTTGCAACACAAAGCAAGCATGGCAGTCATGTGAAGCTCTCAAATGACACAACAATGAGGCTGAGCTGCAGCTCACCAACATTTAAAAAAAAAAAAAAAAGGAAAGAAAAAGATTACTAAATCTTCAGACTTTTCAGGCAACTGTGGTTTGGTTTCACAAATGACTCAGTGTGAAACTGGAACTTAAATAAAATGCTTTTGGGTACCTACTAACCCAATTTTACACTATAAAAAGAATTAATCAGGAAGCTGTAATCGCACTGAATCAGAGACATTCTACCTTTATGTTACAAAAGACTTCAGGCAGTTATTGGAAACGAAGGCCATTTTGTACTGAAGACTCAAAGTTTGATTTCTTGGTTCCAGTCTTTCGGAAGGGGGGGGAACAAACACCACGACTGATCTGCGTGCATCAAGACTTGACAAACAGACAATAGGAAAATCCATAAGTCTTTGTTAATTGGAAAATATCTAATATTTTTTTGCCACATTAAGCATAAAAACTGTGCTCCGTTTGCAGTCACACCCATAAAAGCCAGGAAAAACCCTGGTATGCACTATTCCATTTACATTATGTAAATGTAGCCTGGATAAAAGAGAAGTAGAAGGCTCTGCTGCACAACTGAGCAAGAGGACAAGTCTCTAGTTTGATAAGCTGCAAATAACACCCATAAAACACCATCCTCAGCCACCCAGCTAAAGGTGTGGTGACTAAAATTTACTCGTTTTGTTTAAATGTTTGACAGTCTTAAAGTTTTGTTTTTCCCCTTTTAAAACCAGCTGAGGTCAAAGAAACAAGTAAAGGCTGATGTTCTAGAAACTCAGTAATCCATACTTTCAGCTTCTTTAATCACTACAGTAGCCAACAGCTGTCCCATCACCCACAGGAGGCTGTTTTTATCATTTTTAGCCTTTAACAAAGAAAGTGTGCACACAGGAACATCATGCCATGAGGAAAAACTGTTTAAAAAAAAAAATAGTCTTATGTAAATTATCCTCCCGAGTTGTTGATGTTTTAATTACGTTATGAGTTTGACATTTATGGATATTAAATACAATGCAATTTGTAGTCCATGCGAAGGCACCGGCAAGCACTAACAACCTGAACGGCGGGGGGGACCTTAAACCTTTTTGGCTAGAACGGTTAAACGGCCCGGGCCGGTAACGCACCGACAGTTTTTGCACCTGACAACTAAACCTACCGCAGGTTGCTCGCGCTTACACAGTTTGGTCCAACAGTAGCTTCTCAAGAGGGGGAAAAAAAACGAACTCACCTAGGACCACAAACCAGACGACGAGTCCGGCCGTAGCGTGGGACACTTTCATTTTCAAGCAGCGCAAGAAGCACTTTTTCACCCTTGCGGAAAGCACGAACAAGCCCGGAGAGATAAGTGGTGCTGAGCCGCGGCGGCTACTGCTGCTACTGCTGTTGTTGTTGCTGCTGCTGCTGTTAACACAGGTGGGTTTACACGGCCACACTTGACTCCGCAGTTGCTCCCGTTCACGTGTGTCTGCTGTGTGAAGGAGGGTAGTCGAGGCTTTTTATTGTCCCTAAACTGCGTCCAGCTGGGGCTAAAGGACCAATTAAACAGAGTCGAGCGTCGGTCACAGGCGTACAGTCTGATTGCGCCTCATCTCATCATGTGAACTGTTAGCCTTTAGAACCCCAGTCACGTGAGACCGCCCCTCCCGCTTCCTCTGTGAACTCGGCTCGGCCATCTCCGCCAAACAACGAAGGCTGCACATTTGCGCTGCTATCCAAGTGGCAACAGCATTTCATTCTGTATACCTGCATGGCAAAATATGATTGTTCTAGCCCCACATTTACTGCCGGGTAGGATTTGTCAGCAGGATGTTAATAGACGCCTAATGAGAAAACTAGGGCGCAATAAAAATGACTTCTCACAGCACTGTCATACGCAGGGCTCATTAATTAAAATGCTACTGGCTGGAGAAATAAAATGATGGGATATTTTGACTTCCGGGTTCTCCTTTTCTGTTCCCAATTCATTAAAGAACATTTTAAACCACTTATGGAATTTTAGATTTTCGTTATACCATCTGTGCGAACTACAGCACAGTGAACTGTATATTTTTTTATATGAGGGTGTAGCACGTGAAAGGCGCCTCCACTCTATGCCGTGCACTCTGCTAAGTGCGTGTTGTGGGCAGTCAGCTGACACCTTCAATTCACGAGGGCATGCAAAACCCTAGAAGGAACTCAGAGGGCCCTGCTACATTTTAGTGTACAGTTCAGCCATCCTTCTTTAACAAGGGACCCACCTTTTTTTCTTTCTTTTTTTTGCCTTAAATGAGACTATAGTATCAGTCAGCCAGCCATTAACCCCTATATTTCTATGAAAAAAGCAATATCAAGGGAATGGTGAAAGGACAGTGCTATTAGTACAGCCTACAAATCCTGAACCAGAATGTATATTTGGCTCTCTTTAAAGCACTTTAGGTCAAATTCTGTTGTATATATGTGCTATATAAATTAAATAGACATGACTTTCCCCACAATATGTGCTACCTGTTTATTCTTTGCCTCTCTGAAAGAACTGTGACAGTGGGCTCTCTCTCTGCTGAGGGTTTATGTCATCCTCTCAGTTTCATGTCTCTGTCACTCTCCACTGGCTTTTGGTTTGGTGTAGATATTGGTTTAAAATCTTCTTTAAAATTGCTAATCTACTCCCTGTTCTCCAAACTGGATCCTTAGGTCCACAGACAGAGGTCTTCTGGTGATTCCACATACCCATCTGAAAACTAAGGAAGGCTGTGCATTCTAAACCTTAGTGCCAAAACTGTGGAACCGCTTATCTCTCTCTCTTTCCACCCATGACTCTACAGCATCCTTAAAGTAAAAAAAAGAAAGAACAAAAAAGCTGAAAACCCATCTATTCTGACAGGGATGTCAGTAATGGTTTTGTGTTGTTTCACTTGATTTAGCTGTGTTCACTTTGTCCTTGTTTTTAATGCCTCTCTGAAGCATTTTGTGGCTGTTTTTTTGCCTTAAAAAGCGCTGTGTAAATAATCTTTACTTACTAGGTCTCAAACGATGCGGAAATCTGAAGTGTACAGTAAAAGGAGTTTCCAGTTTCGCTGAAGTTAGGACGTAGAATTCCCACAGAAGTCTAAACCAAGCTTCAACAGGAGTATTAATCCTATCTTGCTAGTGTCAGTTCAATACCAACACCAGCGTTGGTATCTTTACTATCGATATTTGGATCCGCCCACCCCTACACATCACCACGTGCACACATCACCAACTGAATCATTAAATACCCATTTATTCAGCTTCACTTTCCGCACTCCTACACAGAACACAATCTGGTCTACGAAAACATCAGCACATGACAGTGAACATTTGGACATTTTGGTCAAAACAAATAACAAAGATGCCAAACGTAATACCCGAGCAGCTTGCCTGCATATGTTTTAGCATCTGTGCTCTTTACTCGTCTCATCCTCAACAGCTGTGTCAAGTAACCAGCCAGTCAGGCTTATACTCAGCAGTTTATGCAGCCGTTCATAAGAAAAACATCTAAAACAACAACCAAAAAAAACCAAACAGAATTCATAAAACTCAAGACAAACAACCTATAATAGAAAATAAGTGATATTAGAATAACATGGAGAAAAATAATCCAATCTGAGGGGAAAACAAAACTAAACAAAAACAGAGGAAAGTGCTAGTTATTTTCTGTTGTGTGTTGCATTAGCAGATTTGCAAGTCACATGAATCAACCATCAACAACAACCTGGGCCACTCCTCCAGCCCAATCTTAGAGTCCCACTAAGGATATTGCAGAATGGGAGCAGCACAGCCAAGTGTCTCTCGTCTCTCTGGAGCTCTGTGTCATCTGGACCTTGTGTCCAGGAGAGTGGACGGAGGGAAAGATGGGCACCAGAGGAGAGTCGGGTGGCTGAGGGGCTGTAGTCCTGTGCTACGGGGCCAGCTGCACGCTTGCTGTGAAAAAAGCATGACGGTGACAGCGGTACCCCTTCAGGCAACATAGTGGTACTGGTTAGGAGTCTCCTTGTCACGTTCCATGTAGTCTCTATCTATGAGCGACTCGATCCGCTTCTTCAGATCACCCGGCTGTGGAGAGTAAGGAGAGTCAGGTGAGCTTTAGGTGCATGGGGAAATAAAATTAATTAGTTAATTTAAAAAAGCCCCAAAACAGGCTTAATCTTGATCACCTTGACAGGGAACTTCAGCTGGTTGTAGAGCTCCGATACCAGCAAGTTGTGACTGAGGGTCTTCCTCATCTTCATGATGCGCACCACTGCTGCATCGATCTGATACTGTCTGTCCTGAAACACACGCTCTGTGGTGCTCACCTGCTCCTCTACCTGTAGGGAAAACAAATAAATAAGTGTGATGAGTAAAAAAAAGAACAAAAAAACCCCCAACTAGTGAACGAAAAAACCAACCAAAGACCAAGACGTTATTTTTACCGTTTCCTTCATTTGGATCTGGTTGATCTTGATGCGGAACAGTTTATGTTTAAAATCATTGTTGAAGTTGAAACGGTCTCCGTCCTCCACATCTTTCCCTCGAGGGTTCTTGTTGAGGACGCGTGCCTTTCCGCAGGCCAGAGACTGCAGCGTGCGCTTGAGCTCTCCCTCTTCTGTGAGGGATAAGAGAGCAGCCATGTGATACAGCAGGTACCCCTCCCCAAACAGAACGGTTAAACTGTATAAAGACACGCGTTACCTATGCCAGTGGCAGCCCGAATCTCCTCCATGCTGAACTCTTCTCCCTCATTAAACATGAGCAGTACCAGCGTCTGGAACAAGGAGACCTGCAGTTCCTTCTTACCCTGCAGTACAAAGTAGTCATTTTAAATCCAGGTGCAGTCCAGATGTTTTCTCAGCCCAGTGTATCCACCTTCTCCACGCTCCATTATCTCTTACAAGGCTCTTACCTCTTTAAACTCTGCCTTCAGTACAGCATGGCCCAGTGTGGGCTGCCACTGCAGCTTCCTCCCACTGTGCTTACCCAGATAGAACAGCTTGAACACCTCCTGGAGTTTTACCATCTACCAGAACATAAAAATATTATTTGTATCAACACTGTCTTGGATCGAATCAGCTGATTTGTTTTGTTTCATGCAGTGGTCAAGTGTATTTGTGTGCCAGACCTAAATGCAGAGCTGCTTACCTCTGTGGGCAGGTGCACCTCCATGGGTGTGTATGAAGGCCAGTAGCCCATAGTGAGGATGTTCACAGTAAGTTCTATGTTGCTTGGCTCACTCTGGTTCTGCATATACTGAGTTAAAAAAGAACAATTGTTTTACAATGATGCACTAAAAAAAAAAAAAAAAAAAAAGCATTTTGAGACACAAATAAAGTGGAGTGTGTCTACAAAGCTCAACAATATCTTATTTTTCAGGAGCTTGGGGGAAAACAAGTGACTGGACTTCTCATACGAGAAGCTTCTTCATTTATCTAGTTTTGTTTATGTGCATGAAGACTTCAGGTACCTGTTTGAACTGGATCATGATGTCTTTGGACAGCTCCATGTCTTTAAACATCCCCTCGAGTTTACTGGTAAACGCCGCCCCACATTCTGCAGGAAGTCAAGACCATGAATATTACAGCTGGCTGCTTCTCACACTACCACATTACCACAGACACCCATGAGAGTCTATATTAGCATTAATAACTTCATATTAGAACTTCATTTAGAGCTGCTGCTGCTATATTACTGCAACATAAAGATCCTCTCTGCGGTTAAAGCGGCATCAATCAAATTTCAGAATATACTGCATGCACAGGATAAGGTCAACCAAAAGGCCAGTTTCCTCATCTAACTGCTCTAAAACATCAAGCATATATCTATAAGTGAGGCATGCATGTTGATTAACAGCAACGTGCTGACTGTGAGGTGTGAAACATTTCCCATCTGCCTTAAAAAACAGCTACTCTGCTGACTCAGCATAAGAGCAACAGACAATTGTTCAGGGTTTCCAGTATAAACAGGATATCTGGATGACGGATTACGGAAATCCAGTTCAAGATTTTTCTGTAGGACTGTCATTGTTTTTAAAATCTAATGAAAATTTAAACTGTCATCAGACAGCTGATGTTGTCACTTTTATTTTTTTTTTAACTGAGTCTGACTGGTCAACAGAACTTGGACTACAAGCGGACTCTCATCTGTTTATAGACTATATAAGATATCGGACTAGAGACTTACCGTGTTTGAGCTTGGACAGCATGGACTTCTCAGCATCAACAGAGGCACTCTTGCCAACCAGCAGGCGTTTGGCCAAGTCCTTCTTATAAAAAGCTTCAAACACATCTTTTCCTGGATGTACAAAACAGATCAAGAGGTGTCAGACGGAAACAAACTTCCTATTCACTAGTAAGACTAACTGGGTGAAAAGCAAACAGTGACATATTCATTAAATATAACTAACCGTGTATGAAGCGGAAGATTATCATTATCTTATCCAGTATTCTCTCCAGCTCCTCCTCCGTAGCCTCCTTGTTCCCAGCTCTTAACTTAGAATCCACATATTTAGCTGCATGGAAAGCACAAAAGCGGTTATCACATGCTGGAACTAATGAAAACCGCATTAAAATGAGCTGTGTAAATTCATTTAAGCGCACAAAGGTAGTGTTTTATACTTCCAAAACTCTTAAAAATCTAAATTACTGAAACAAATTCATCATTAAATGACCTGGCCTACCGATAAGCTCTGCAGGCTTGTTGGGCCTCTTGTTGATGAAAGTTTCAAAAGCCTCCTTCATGGCATTGATGAAGCTCTCATTGCGTGCAAAGCAGCTCTGTGCCACGTTGTCCATCTTGTCTTTGAAGTCCAGCAGGTCTTGTACCATGTCTTTGTCTTTCTCTGGAGTGCATACAATCTCTCCTCCAAAGGACTGAAACCAAATACAGTGTACATACACACGTCTTAGACACAAAAAGACCAGGACACATTTATTTTGACAGTAATGATTTGTGTTGATGTTTACAAATATGTTGGGTCTTGTGTGTACCTTGATGTAATCCCTCCAGAACTGCAGCAGTGTGGGAAGTCCTCCCTTCACTTTGCTGAAGAGCTGGTAGAGGAGGGTGAGTTCAGTCACACGATTCTCATCCAGCAGAGTGCTCAGACCTGTCACAAACATGCTACACGTGAGTGCTTTTTACATACTGAAAATGTTTAATTACGTACATAAAAACAGGATACAGCTCTACAGGCAGGACAGCTCAACTAAAAAAGTTGCTAAAGGAAAAAAAGAAAGAAAAGAATACTCATGTGTACCAGTTTAACAGAAACCCAGCACTACGTCAGTTTGTGGCTGTTTGCAAAACCTTTCACACTGACATACCCTTTTGCAGTATTGCAGTCATATGTTCTTCTAACAGCTGTTTCTCAACACAGCTAATGAGACGTTTCCTGTTAAACAAAGAAAACAATATAAGACAAACCAATCGTAAACAAAGTTCTCTGCTTGCCAAGCAAAGCTGCTGTTCTTCAGAATATCTGTTACCACACCTATAAAAAGAAAAAACTATATAATAAATAAATATTTTGCCAATTATTCCTTCAGGATCGTCTCCTTGTGAATCCATTCACCACTTCCAGCATGACTGCTGTTTTTTTTAAAAAGGCTCTGTGGGAATCCAGTTCGGTCCATATGCAGATGCACTTTTGTGATGCACACTGGATTCCCTCCCCCATCAGCTTAAATTGCAATTTGAAGAGGAGGATGAAGTCAAAAGGAAACAAATTTAGCTGGTGCTCAGTTGTGGTGTGTTTGTGGGGCTAAAAAAATTCAAGTTATGTGCACCAAATATAATCAGTAAGTCCTGCACAACCCCGTGGACAATGGAAAAATAAGGAGCAAGCACCTCATACGGGCTTGCAGACTGTGGACTGTTTTACTGAAACATGCTGTTTGATGTCTGAGCTGTGGTCAGAGTTCTCATCCACAGTGATGATCCTTTACATAAATGCTTACATCAATTTGCATTTGGTGCAAGTTAGAGCTGCACAGTTAAACTGCAAATGCATAGCTGCACGTGGTCAGAAGGGAACTTCCAGGGTGCGATTGAGACGATCATAAATGAGTAAACCAACCAAAACATGTAGATTTTTTTTATTTAAATAGAATCAAAAGATAGTGTAGTAGTGTCAAAGTTTGTGATGGCAACAGTGCTTGTTGACACTTTAAGGCACCACTGGCCTTCTGACTCAAAACTAAACCTCATTTAGCAGTTTCTATATCACTATATGGTAATGAATGGTTTTTAAATGTTCTTTCTGAACGTTGCATGAGAGCTGTTTTAAATGGCGAGTAGGCAATTTTACCTTCCTTAAGCTCCCGCAACCCTTGAAAAGGATAAGCAGGTATAGCTGATGGTTGGATGTCTCAGCGATATGCATGAATATAATAAAAATCCAAATAAATAAATAAATAAGTAAATAAATAAACATTACTGAGTGCTCTGATCGAGGTAGCTCACGATTCGATCATTTTCCTCCTCCAACCGACGAGCCACGTGGTGCAGGTACTCGGGTACCTGAACACACACAAACACACACTCAGCACTGCTGATGACAATCACATGACACACACACCCACTGGTGGTCTCACTCACGTCTCTCTCCTGCATCAGATGCTGTCCCTCTGCTGCATACAGACGATTGGTCTCAGTCAAAAATCTCTCCTCAAAGGAGTCTTTGTAAACCTAACAAGAGTTGAGAGTCATGATGGAGAAATACTGGCATGCACTCTAAGCGCCCACGTGACGAAGAGGCGATTGTGTACCTGCAGGTCTGACAGCATGCCAAGAAGACTCCTAAGCAGACTCCGGTCCACGGTCTCTCCATTCCGCTCCAGTTCAATCTGCTCCAAAATGCCTTCCACTGTTCGCTTTTGAACAGCACTGTCGCTCACGATGTGGGTGCGAAACAGCTCCAAACCGGTGTCCCTGCAGCGAATACATAACATCAGCTTTCTGAGAACATCTTTACAGACACAGTGACTGGAATTAACTATAATTTTACCAGATAGAAGGGAGTAGAGAGTTCTGCAGCACATAGGTACGATCCAGGAAGAGAAAGATGCTCCGGATCATTATCTACAAAGAATTATTAGATTAACATTCCTACAGTCCACTAAGGTTTGAGCAGAGCAGATTTAAATGGATATCTATCAAACATCACACTCACAGTTTGCCTACAGTGGTCCTGCCAGCAGCGATTCATTCGCTTCAGGAAGGAAAGGTTGTCCAAAGACTCTGTGAGGTCCAAGTTAAAGAAAATCTTTTACTGAGGCATCAAACCCCAGCTCTGAATTATATTACAGTACCTCTAATGAGATATAATGACAAAGCATGTTTATCTAACTTCCTCTTAATACTTAAAAGAACAAACTTCAAAAAGCTGCCCAACCAGTGTTAATAACCAAACTACACATTTAGCATCGCTTGACGTCTGCCAGCAGACCCCAGATATCATTGAAAGAGTAAAGCTACCAATAAGCTCCAAGCAAAATCCACCTTGAGGTCCCAACTGCAGATTTATAAAGAAGGTGGAGCACTGCTTTATCTTATCTGTGTGCAGCCGATCTCAAACAAATTGCTACTCACTATATAAGCAATACCCAACTCTTGTCTGCACACAGATGAACAACATCTGGAAACTAGTGTCCGGTTACAGATTTTCCCCTCATCAAACTTAAGTAATTTAGATATTTATCTCTTATAGTGAGAAACTTGTTATTATCAAGTCAGTGGATATAACATATACTGACAGGATTTCACTCCACAGTTAGCGGAGAATCATTTTGGTTTCTAGTAAAGAAGATATCAGGCAGATCCTACTTGCTTCAACATTTCAGCACATAGCTTGCCTGACATGCCTGTGCACATAAAAAAGGATATTCTCTAAACTGGTGGATCTGGGCCTGCACGTGATCTTCACAGACTTGCCGAAGCTGCTTGTACAGAGTCGGTGAGACTTTATACGAGCACAGGTTCTCCACCGCCTTCAAGTGCAGCAGAAACAAAGAGAAAACAGGAGACAATTGTTTTTATATGACAGGACAGACAGGTGATTTGGAGAATAATAACACTTACTTTAACACTATTAGTAAAACATCATGGATTTATGTGAAAATGTGGTGAAAGGCTTTGAGATGCATAACAGTTTAAAAGCAAACAAACACATCAGCAGACGTCCTGTACGTGATGCAACATGCTCAAAACAAATGGCAAGTCTTCACAAGTTTATTTTAATCCTCGGCTGTTCTTCAACTTCAGACTCATTTAATATTCGTGGCTTTATGGTGTTAGAAATGTCGAGACTGCAAAGCATTTGAGCTTGACATGCCCCGTTGTTCCGTACCAACATGTTTTTAAGGCCCAGCAGTGCAACACATTACTCAGGGTGTGAAGAAAATAAGTCTAACTCTAGTTTGGTAATTAAAAAGACAAACAGCAAACCTGATAGAGCTCCTCCAGGTTATACTTGATGGAGGTGCTGTTCTGGATTGCACCCACCGCATCTCGCAGCTTCAGCCACGTGTCCTCGGTGTAGTTCTCTGCTAGTTTTGGCCTATCTGTTTACAAAAACACAACAAGACTCACTTATAGGACTAAAATATGACCATATTAGGATGTGGGCAGCACATCCTAGTATCATTTCCACTTGCAGAGCATTTGTTTATTACAAATGCTCTACAAGTGGAAATGATAAAACCTGAAGAATAAATGTTCAATGACATTTTCAAAGTTTTCTGTCATATGTTGAAGGTAAGGAAAGCAAGTTTTGATACAATAGCTTTACTGTACTTATGAAGCCATCAACACTGGGATGACTGACAATAACCTACAGAGGGAGTACCTCCACACACTTTGGACTCTCAGCTATGTTGGCAAATAAACATTTATCCTGCTGGAAATTGAACAAAGCAAATTTACTGGTCTCTCTGACTCAATCATTTATTGACATTTATTTATTTGCCAATCTTTTTCCACACACGAAATTTCTTTCATTTCTAAAATGTCCAAAGTAAATGGTTAATTGTAAAGTGAAGTGCTGTAACTTCTCAATATTAACATCAACCTTGATTTAAAACAACCTCTTATTTAACCCTGGAGAACCCATGGGATCAAATTTGACCCCATGGGTTCCCTAGAAAAACAATAGGGTCAGCTCTGACCCCATGGGTTCTCCAGGGTTAAGTTTTTTCCCCATTTGTGGTGTGAATTAATAGACTGACAGAACAGCGGTATCTTTCAGACGATCAATTCATTCAATGATTAGTTATGTCAGATATAAAACCTCGTGCTTTTACTTTATACAACAGGTGCTGGGATTTAGGAGTGGCCCAAAACTCCATGGCTGGTGGATTTGGCACAAACAGCTATGCAGCATAATGGAAAATGCATATCAGTCTATCAGGAGCAAGCCCTGGGTAAAGGTGACATGTGAGTGCTTGAGCACGGCAGTAAGGGCAGCAACTTTTTTTTGTTTTGTTTTGTTTGTTTATCTTTTTACAGGCATTATCTGAAAGTAACATCCTCTTACGTGCTATGGTATCTCTGTGTAACTGCTGCTGTTAGGTAACGCATTAGAAGAGGCTCAGTGACAGTACCTTTGAAATTTTTGATCACTAGTTTCTTTGACGTGCCGGTTTTGCCTGAGGCCACAGCGGAGGTCCTGGCCATCCCGTTGGCACTGTGTTCCGTTATAGAGAAGCTGGCCCTCTTGTCCTGTCGGGTGTCCTCTGCCATTATCAGATTAGCGCTTTGGCTTATCGCTGTATGGTTCAAGTGTTTTGCTAACTTACTGACGGGCTGTTTACTCGCCGTCAAAGGGGCAGCCTCTATATTAAGTTACTTGTCTTTGGTTGACAGCACAGGCACTCGCAGCCTATTTAAAATACATTCACGGGGAAAAAAATGACTTAATACGAGGTTAACTAATCCGAAAACATAACTACCTCCTGCTAAGTAAACACACTGCTAGCTAACAGTATGTTATCTGAACCTGCAGCACACTTTAGCAAACACTTCTCGTCTTCTCATCAGCTCTATAGCTTCACAAGCTAGTCCATATCCCCATCGGCTACTTACAGGCCTCCACGAGTTTAACTGTTGTATTTTGCGACAGTACACTAACACATAAACGCGACATCGTTAGCGCTGACATAAAAATCCCAAATTACTGCTGGCTTTCGTTAACATAAACCCAGCTAGCACAACAAAATGGCTTTTCTCAGACGGTTCAGTTGGACAGGTGCATCTTGGGTGAAAACCGGCCGGGTTGCGTTCAGGAACATATGGTGCATTTTAGTGTCAGAACAAATTGGTCAAATATTTTTGGTTTGAGATACTGTGTAGTTAACTTAAATATCAGTAACAATAAATCAGTTTGCCATCAAAAGGACAACAACTCTTTTTTTTTTTGCATTAGTCATTAAATTAAGAAGCTCTAGTCATAATAAGAACTCTAAGGAGGTAAAATTGAGGCGTTCTCTGGAGAGAAGGGGAATGAAAGTCAGTGGAAGCATGACAGAATGAATGAGAAGGAGATAGGTGTAACAGTGAGGAGCAGACGTAGTGAATCTGGATGAGTTTAAATGCAACAGCACCCCTTACTAATGCTAGTGAGTACACGTTTACTGTTATGGCACGCATTTTCTTGCACACATGCTACTAGGACCAGTTTAGAAACACTTAATCACCTCTGATATTTGTTTGGCTCTTGTCATTGTAACGCACTTGTCAGCTATGAGCATCACCAGAGATAAAGATCTATATTACTTGTTAATGAATGAAATATACTGAAATATTTGTGTTTAGTCTTAATGTCTGTGAAGGCTCTCAGTCACCCATGTCATCGTAGTCTGAGGAGCTTGGAAGTCCAGATGCTTTTCTTTCCAAGCTCCTTAGACTGTTTAGTTTAAATATTTTATATGTGAAGAGGTAAACAAGGAATAGTACTGATGCACCTGCCTCACAATAACACTGCTCCAGGTGGTTTCTTAGCAGTGGCTACTGTTGAAAAACTCGTAACAACGGTGAACGCACCACTATATCACCTGCAGCCAGCAGGGGTTCAATGCAAATGGGCGGCGTTTCATATTGGACAAGCAGGAACTCTCTGGCTGCCATTCAGCTTGTATTATCCGGCTGTCGGTGCGGCAACGACCCCCAGCAGCATGGCAGTGTTGACGTTTAGGTGTGAGTTCATGTCCTGGTTTTCGGAGTACTGAGGCTTTTCTGCGTGTAGTGACTCCGGCCTGCCGTCCCGAGCGCCGCCTGCATTGATAGGTAGGTCTGCTGTCTACGCCAACTGCTCCGGGAGGAACTGGGCAGGGTGTGGACGCACAGAGCATCATGTCAGTGAAGGGGAGATTGACTGGAAAATAGGTTGATTTTCCTTGTGCGGGCACTCCGTGAGGGTTGTAGCCTTGCAGCTTTAACCACACTGGAAATGTAGCCTAGCTTTAAATTAGCTTGCTAGCGTTAGCATAGCAAGAGAACAGTGTTTAGAAGCTAACTTTAGCCGAAAGAGCTCAGCTACGTGGTACTGAAACAACCTATCAGATTTAAAACTGGCCACGGCTTCCTGACATGACTCATATCCTAATGATGACTCTCTCACCTTCACACAGTCACTGTCAACAGTGATTTTCTTTTTCGCTGCTGCCTCTGTGTTTGGGGAGCTAGCTAGTGCTAACACCATTAGCTCGTACTGTTTGAGCATGAGGGTGTGAGGAGATCAATCTCTAATGGGTCAAATATAAATGAGTAAACTATACGATAAAGTGTTACTATAGTAGTGTAACAGGAAACTCAATACAATTGTGCTGTTGATATAAAACCGCATATCTGCTTTGTTAATCTTTTTGTGTCAGAACACATAACCTTTCACGCAACCCAGATCCGAAATCTCATGCCTTTAAATGTAAACACCAGCAATCCTCAGCTGTACTGTCAAGGAGAGACTTTAAAGAAATGTCAATCTCCTTATCTTAAAGAGAAAACGTCTTAAACAGTATCTTCTGCTCTTTATCAGGCTCTCGGTTGTAGGAACAACAGGTAGGCATAGAAGCCCAAACCTTCCTTTTCTTTACCTCCTTCAGCTCACCTGGCAGGGAGGCATTAAAGTGTTGAGATGTAAACCCTCCAGTGTATCCTGGTTCTGCCCTGGGGTCTCCTTCTTGTAGGACATGCCTACAAAACCTCATCTAGAAGATTTTTAGGAGGCATCCTAATTAGATGTCCAGCACCTTAACTGGCTTCTTTTTATACGGAGGAGTGGCTCTACTTCCAGCATTCCTCCTAAACGACCAAGCTCCTCACCCTCTAAGGGAAAGTGCAACCACCCATCAAAGGAAGCTTGTTTCTACCACTTGTATCCGATATCGTTCTTTTAATCACTACCCAGGGCTTATGGATGTGGGAGGGCGTGGGAATCGACCTTTCAAATCGACAGCTTTAAAGCACCTTACATTCACAGACTCACACATCACACATGTAAAAATTCACATACATGTATAGTTTTATGAATAAATTATATGCTGAGTATATCCAGAGACTTAATGATTCCTCACAGGGAAATGTTGTACAGTCCGCTTTCCACATTGATTATTTGAATTTGTCTGCAGCTTTGCTGACGCAAACTTATTTTGTACCTCCTGTAGATGCCTTGGCCAAGATGAGCGTGAAGGCTTTTGAGCTAGTCCCCGCTGTGGAGCGAGATCTCCTAATGGGCGACAAAGCTCGCATCAACATTGAGTGCATTGAATGCTGTGGAAAGCACTTGTACGTGGGCACCAATGACTGCTTCATCCACCACTTTCTGCTGGCTGAGGTCGCCTCCTCTAAAGGGAAGCCGGGTTACTTGGCTCAGAAGTTGCTGCACAAATACCTTGGCCTCAAGAAACCTGTTGCTGAGCTGCGGGCTGCTTCTGCTCTGGAGCGTCTCATAGTGCTCTGTGAAGGGTTAGTGTTCCTCGTTGACATGGTGACGCTGGAAACGGTGCCCTCGGCAGGTGGAGGTGGAGCCAAGATCAGGGGCGTGGCATCATTTTGTGTTAACGAGAACCCGGTGAACGCCGATCCGTTCTGTGTCGAAATGGGCGTGCTATCCTCCAAACGGCGGACAGTCCAGATTTACATGGTGTACGAGGACAGAGTGCAGCTGGTGAAAGAGTTGACAACGCCCGAGCAACCCTGTGCTGTCAGTCTTGACGGTTACTTCTTGTGCCTGGCTCTTACCACACAGTATATGATCCTGAACTACAACACGGGAGCCTCCCAAGACCTCTTCCCTTACAACAGCGAGGAGAGGACACCCATTGTAAAGAGAATTGGCAGGGAGGAGTTTCTCTTAGCAGCACCTGGTGGTCTGGGTAAGTCAGAACAAAAACAGTCCCTGCAGTGAATACTTGGAGTTTTAAGATGATATCTCAATGGGTGACAAATTAAAAGAAATTCCAACACAAGGGGCCTTAGTAAGAACAGATCAGCTGCGCGAGTGTGTTTTTCTGAGAAGAAATACATTGTGCAGGATGTATTATATTAAATGTTTAGTCTGTTTGAAGCTGCAAAAGTTGTGACTCTGTAGTTTAACAGACTTATTATTTCAAATCCAGATACAAACTTAGTCTTCATGCAAATTTGATATGAGGTCAAAAAGCACAAATTGCTGTGTTTTGGATTAATGATTGTAAAACAGAATTTTTCTGAATAAAGATTACGGATCCTTTTTTGGATGAAAGAAAGACTAAAGCTTAAAAAAACCCCACTAGTAATATTTGTGATCCTCCTATCATTGTGATTGTTCAGTACACAGTGATTTCACACCTACTGATGTCTTATCTTGAACATAATCTACTCTAGAGCAGGTTTGTCCTGCAGCACAAGTTTCCATAGTAATCTGTTTCTTTTAATTGAACCTTCTTGAATTAAAGGTGAATCTACCAGGATAAATCCAAATCCTGCTTTGTAGTACAGAGGATTGTACATTAAACATTCTCATCTTCATGAAATAGTTTGATAAGGACAACCAGAGGCATTGTCATGTTTGAAGGGTCCACTCCCATTGGCATAGAAATGTTTCATCACAGGATGAAGTTCATCAGCTTTGTGTTGCTTTTAATTTCTCTCTCTAAACCATGTAAAGCACTTTGCTCCCCACAGCATTACACAGTCACCAGCTCCATTCACTGCAGCGCTCCGGGTTCAGCCTTTCTTTTATGTGTCACACATCTGTGTGAAAATACATTTCAGGCATTTTGTGTAGGCTAACATCTCAAAATAAAGAGCGTATTGTTTTGCTCACTATCTCTTAAATGTTGTGATTCTCCAAACTTATTTTTGGGGCTGTTTAAGGGAACATGTGCATTTCCTTTTTAAAATTAAAGTACTGTGTGTAATTGGTGGTGTCTGAAGGATCAAATTGTGTTCTGTAACTTTGACAGCATGTGTGCATCTGCTTGTTTATTAATAAGAATCACCTTGGGGTTTTTTATTATTGGTCAGCTGTAAAAAGCTGAGGGGGAATGGTTGTCACTCTGCTGGGAAGGCAGGCAGAGTATTGATCCAATACCGATACCAATGCTCGTATCGATACCTGAATCGGTCCGCCCACTTATACTTAACATGTCCATGTTGATCATTAAAACTGCTTTTCCACATGCCATCTCCAGGAATGTTTGCCAATGCAGAGGGTGTATCTCAGCGAGCTCCGGTCAGGTGGTCAGAGAGCGTGATTGGTGCCGCTGTGTGTTTTCCATACGTGGTGGCGTTGGACGAGAGCTTCATCACCATCCACAGCATGTTGGACCAACAACTTAAACAGACCCTTTCATTCAGGGATGGCCATATTTTGCAAAACTTTGAAGGTATGTTTGCATATTGCTTGTTTCTAATGTCTACCAAAAGGTATCACAAATGGGAATTACTATTTAAGTAAATAGCATTTTAATTTCCTCAAGGATTAGGTTTAACTAACAGGTACTTTTTTGATGCAAAGAGCTCCTGAAAAGTGCGTTTGAAAAACAGGAAAGGATTAATAAGTGATATGGGGATGGAAATAGTTATTGCTTTGGCTGACTGGACTGTGTAACCAAAACTGTTCATCAGAAAGCGTCTGGATGGCGCTGTGCACTCAGGTCTCAACTCTTAATGGGATCTGAAGCACTATCGACCATTTCTTGCTACAGAGGATTTCAGTTCTGTGTTAAAATGAAACTTTTATTCTGCTTGGCT